GAATTTTGTTTCAAAGTCATTCGACCCTGACTTGTTAATACCAATTGAATTTTAAAGCTCTGTCTAAGATTTATATCCTCTGTAAGACATTTATTAATCTTTTAAAACTATAATTATTATAAAAATGTTTAAGTTCAATAATAAATCTGCGTAGCAAACCAAGTGTAGTTTCTATTAAATGGTAATAATATATCGTCTGCTTTTTCATTTTCCTCGTCTTTCTACAAAACTACTTGGTGTTGTCCAAAACTTCCTAAACTTCCACTTGACACGATCTCCCGCATTATCTCTGCACACATAAGCCATCCTCATATCGCATTCAATAACATACATCCATCTGTTTTTTGGTCTAAGTGTACCTCTCCTTTCCTCAACATTAATTTCCGTAGCTGTTCTTACAGCTTTCGATCCCTCTCGTTTTACATGACCAAACCATCTAAGCCTATTTTTCTCAAAATATTAATAAAACATACACAGTAAAAACATTTCATTAAATATCAGTTATAGACGACGATTTAACAATAATACTAATTCTTATTGAGTAGTAATAATGACATGTTTTTGATGAACATTTTTCTATATTACACTCTATTTTTTGTCCCCACATTCTACATCATGTATTTGCATTTATATTACTTTGGACTGTTTTAAAATGAAACACGTAAATACAGTTCATGAATTTTATACGATTTCCAATAGATCAACACGGCTTTTTAAGTTAAATCTCAGACAATTTCCAGGCAAACCCTACTACTTAAAATTCACGAGCAGACAGCTACCATAAGATTTATACTTGTGTACCAAAACCTCTGGCAGCATGATTAACTTTCTTCCCTTAAACATAGAATAAAACTTGAATCAAACGTTTATTTTGTTTTCATTTTTACAAATAATGCCATTCAATTACATATTTTTAAATATTAAATGAGTTGAAACCAATAGTTTCTACTAACTAATTATACATTTTATTTAAAAGTATTTCGTATACATAATAAATAAACAAGAAAATTAAATGTTGTGATGGAAAAATATTAGTTATCTAAGGAAGTATAATTAGAAATTTAATCATACATTAGTAAACTTTTCATTCAAATAGTTACAATAAATATTGACATAACTTATCAGATATTCTTTTGTAAAATCCTTATTTTTACAACCATAAGCATATCAAGATTTACGTGGTAGTAAATACATAAAAATCGGTTTACTTTGATAATATTAATGAATAATCTTTTTTTTCTTCTAGTTTAAAATGATACTCTTTCGCTTTTCGTAAAAATATTTATTAAAATGTCTTTTAAAGAATTAAAATTATTAAAAACGTATATATTTTTAATCTAATTTTTCTATTTTTTTTTTTTTTACTTTTTATTAGTGAAAATCACTTCATTAACTCTCAATACTTAAACTTTAAAGTGCTAAACAAAATGACTTTATTTTTAAATACATATAGTCTTAAATATACCATTTATTTTGAAATCGTCTCAATTATAGAAATGCTGTTAAAGTGCATTGGAAGGAACACAAAATAAAGTGAGTCCTACAATGAATTTCTAACCTTTTGAATCGAATTGTAAAAGCCATAGCGCAAATTGGGAAAAATGTATTGAATCGGTAAAGGCATCATCAGACTCTTTGTTGTACAGCATCATAAATATAAAATATAATATGCGAAAATCGAAAACCAAGAAAGAGCATCAATTGAAAAATATATTCAAATTTACAACTTTTTATTACTATCCTCAAATACGCAGTACTTTATGTCGGCACAGAAAAAGTAAATAATATTCTACAAATACTTAAAAAAAGGCAAAATGGATCCCTATGGATAAATTACATAAACAATATCAGTACATAAATATTTCATAAGTCTTATATTAAGAATAAAAACTCTTAAAAAATCAATTTGTGTATAATAAAATAAGTATACTTTAAAAATTTTGTTTAATTAATAACATATAACAATATAACATTAGATCTCATCGATTGGAATTTTTTAGAGGAGATTAAATTTTATGTTATAAAGTTTTTTATCTCTTATCGTATACTTTTTTACAGTTAAAATACGGTGCATTATATACATGAGTGTATTTTGTAAGTAAATAAGAAACTATTTCAAACAAATTATTTAGATTATGACTTAAAATTTTTTTTTAAGTCCTTCACATTTTTATATTTTATCAAGAATATTTGAATATAATAAATTTACTTAAAAAATAAAATAAAAAGTTCTCACCCGAAGTTTTGTTTTGTTTTTTTTAACTTGCGTATTAGATTTCATAATATAAGAATTTACATCAATCGAAACTTGCTATAAAAAAAAGTTTACTCATTTCATATTATCTTAACAACCGTAGGGGTGAAATAAGTAAAGAATACTTTCGTGTGTTATGGATAAACTATTGAAATTTTTCAAGGTACTCCATCCATCACTCATATGGTTATGACGAAAGGAAAAAGTAATAATAAATAAACGAAAACAGCTTTTTCGTTAATACTTATGCCGACAAAAATAACTAGTGTTTACGAGTAAGCTTTCCTGACACTTTACATTCACGTCTTTTAACCTCCTCTGAAGGCAATAATATAAATACGTAGCTGATATTAGATTATACTCTTGGAGCTGTCACTTATTATATTTACAACGTTGCTGCTGTTAAACTGATGATGAAAAAATTGTCAACAGAACAATTACTCTTCCATATGTATAATACTTATACATATTTAATGCGGATTTTGTTTATTAGAATACTGGGGGCAAATTTTCGACCTTAACTTTACGGATAGTCACAGTGCAAGAGAAGATCAAAACGATAGTCGAATTGATGTGACACTCACACATACACACTGGTTATGCAAACAAATGCAAAAAAGTATTTTTTTATTTTACCACAAGGAACTGCGTAAACATACGAGATAGAAAACAGAACAGTATTGTGACGAGTCCAAAATTGGATTCTACCGATGACACTTTTTCCATTAAGAGATACAAACAGCAAGACAAATCGATTTTCTTCGAGTTGTCAACTTTTTTGTGTACTATCCAAACTAAAAAGACGCTGTACAGACAAAATGTGACTAGTTTTATAATTTTTGGAATAAACATAATGTTTTTTTTATTATGAATACACCCTTTCTTTAGTAAAAAAGAAAAGAACACATTAATTACTATAAGTATTTTATATTTATATTTTGATTTTGTATAATTTAGTCATAACCCGTACAGATGCCAATAATTAATAAAATATATGCATTGATATTATTGGTTTCACATATTTATCAAAATTAGAAATCAAAACTTTGATTTTAAAGTGTCAACATTCGTCAAGTTTTTTTCATTCGTAGTTTATTTTATGATAAAAATACTTTTTACACATATAATTTATAAGTTATATGTAACTTAGTTTTTATTACTATTAATAAAAATCAACTAAATATGAAAACGAAACGCGCAACTGATTTAATATATATTGTGCCTCAAATTTATATATTTTTAATCATATTTAAATTATAAAAGTTTCAAAATTAAACACGGGTTTGAAAATACAAATTATTGTATAAACGTTCAGATATTAAAAAGAGTATTTACTGTGGATGCAGTTTAATTGTTTTTTTTTTATATGAAAACAGAAATAGAACTTAACTGCAACTTTTTGTACTTAACTTTTTGCTAAAATATTATTTGAACGTTGTAAACGACAAAATCTCAGAACGGTTTTAGTATTTTTTTTTTTTTTTTTTGTGTTAACTCATGTCAGGTGCGTTAGACAAGCTGTCATAATTATTTCTACAAAAGGTTGTAGCTTCTTACTTTTTTTTGTTTAAAATGTAATTGAATTGCAATATTTATATGTTCTGAGAATATTATATTAGATGTCAAATATAAGAGTTTATATTACGAAATTTTGACTCATTCAAGCTTAAATTTTTAAAAGCTAGAGAAGGGAAAAGTGAGCGAATGGAACAAGAAAAATTTCATAATATAAAGTATACCAATAGTTATTACATATTGATTTATATCTTAAAAGAAAGATTAATATTTAAAAAATTTTTATCTGTCATGCTATAATAAAATTTTTAGAGTCAATATTTTTTTTAATCAAAAAGTATATAATGTATTTATAACTTAAATATTGTTGTCATCAAATCAAAAATGAATCTATGAAAAATAAATGAATTTGGAGTTCAGCTATCACAGTAATAAGGTTTTATAGATACAGCCTATATAGTACTCAATATTGTTTATTTTTAATATATGTAAATTTAGATTCAAAAAAAATGTTTTTAAATATTGCATGTAATGCCAATTTTATACATTTAAGTATCAACATCCCAACGTTAAATACTTAATGAATTACTAATGGTCTATTCACAGAGAAGAGTTAGGGCAGTATTTTCCCTTAAATGATAAATTCAAAATATTTTGTGTGTTACTGTTTACACTTAAACCGCATAACCAAATCTTTTAATAAAAAATGAAAAACAACATGACAATAATACATTAAAACCGGTAATTTTGAGTCGCCAACCAATAATTCAAACAATTTTATTGACCTAATATTTAAACAATGTAATTATTGTACTATTATTGAACAACATAACTTGTGAGAAAATAGAATTCTTTATTTCTTAAATAATTTCCAAAAACAAAAATTTCTGTCAAAAAATACCTAAATTAACACATTTTTGTTTTATGACTTATAGAACCTATTGGTTCTCTGGAAATAATTAAATAATTAATGAAATTAATTAATTTTTATATAAAATTATAAAGAGTAGATAATTTACAATGGTATCCAAAACAGAGGATCTTTTGGTTTTCATGCCGCATTGTGTATAAATTAACTTTAATGTTAATGCTTTAGTACCACGTAATTTTTTATCTTTTAAAAACTGATATTAATTAAAACATTTAATTATTTATTGCATTTGAATAAATATATTAGTTAAAAAAAATCGAATATTCGATTAACATGATAATTTTTTTTCCTGTTGCCTAGGTTATGGCCATCTTATGCCAGTGCTCACAATAATTTGGGTACGTTGATGGAAAGGTCCAGAGATGCTGAACATCATTTTTTAGCCGCAATTCGCTTCTCTCCTGGCCATGTTAATGCGCATTACAATTTGGGCCAAGTTTACAGGTTTGTTTTCAACACTGAATGTACCTAAATAAATGTAGTAACAAAAATATTTTCATTGTAGATTAATGAATCGCACCAAAGACGCTGTAGCTATGCTGGAACGTTGCCTAAGACTAAATAGTGGGTACACGGCTGCGTATTTATTACTGGCCAAAATGCATACAGGAAGCCAAACAGGACGACTATTAAAACATGTGGCCACGTACCAGCCAAAAAATCCCGATCACCAAGCTCGATACGCAAAATGGCTTCATGATAACCGTAAGTCACCGTTACTTGTGCTACATTGGGTGTCCCAGATATATATGACACATTGTTGAATTTTTTTTTTTTTTTAATAATTATGAACTTCTCAGACTGCGTTTAAATCTCATTATTATTATTTATCACTAATAAAAAAATTGAAAATTTATTTTAACTACTTCACTTTTTTCTTGCAAGATATATTAATGGATTTTCAATGATTTTAGAACAAGTAATCATTAAGTTACAAGATTAAAAGTTTACCGATGTTGAAAATCGTAATTTTTTAGGGATTTCTCTCATTTACGAGAAACTAGGGACATTTTTTCAGTTTTTAAAGGCGCTGTCTGCAACTATATATGATTTGTGACCTTTTGACGTATCATTCAGTAAAATCGATCCAGTAAAAGCTAACAAAAAAAGGTGGCAGACACAAAAAATAAATAAACACACCATAAAAAATGTAATACCTTCTCAGCTTCACATCGAAGTTTAACACTACCATAATTATACTGATTATACTTACTTATATCAGACAATTTTAATAATTATAAGCTTAGCATAAAATAACAAAATATATATAGGTTGGGTTTTTCTATTCTACACGTATATGTATGAAATATTATAATATATATGATCCTTGTAAAATATTTTTCAATAAACTATCAGAAATTCATTATTATATGAAAATATCATTTTCTCTAGATAACACTGAAATTAATTTTGTCGAGTAAAAATATCCATATAATAAAAAAAAAAGTACCTTTTAATATTGTTACATAACCTGATGATATAACATAATTAGAATATGAAGCAATTTTACGATAAAAAGCTTGTTTTATAACCAAATGTACTTATTTTTCAATCATTATTGAGCTTTCATTTTTTAGTTTCGTAAAGTTTTACCACTTTGTGCGGTGTTTATGTAAGTAATTTGTATACAATTACTTAAAATATACTAGGTTTTCGAACTATTGATTGAACTTACAAATATTCATTTTAGTTATAATATTATTCATGTTTTTCTATTATTTGAGTTATCGAAAATTAAATTATTAAAATATGGTTCTGCAGTTTTATTTACGTTTAAACAAAAAATATTATTTAATTTATAAAAAAAATAATTATTTATTAAATATTATAAAAAGAGAAAAAAATATATCGATATAGAATAACATTTTCAACTTTAATTACAATTTTAATGAGTCAAGTTTTACATAACATCATTAGGAACCGAAATATTAAAGAATTAATTAATGAATTAATGAATTAATTATTTTGCCTTTGTAAAGTGTCATTAAAATACATACAAATTAAAAAATTTTAAATAATGAATGAATGTCTTATAAAATGTATCTATGTAACTATACTTCTATAACCCATAATTTATTTCAATACATAGACGTGAAATAATTCAATACATCAAAATGAATCATATATGTAATATGTTTCAGATCATTTAGCAGAAGCTTTATTTTATTACAAGAGGGCCATGACAGTTAAAATGGAACACAGGGATTCAGTACTAGGTTTAGCCAGAGTACTTAGAGATCAGGGACAAAAATCAAGAGTGTATAGACTCATTACATGGTAACCATCTTTTTTGTTAAAATATTTCGGTAAAATAAAGTTTTTAATACGCTTGTTTATTAATTTTTGTAATAAAATATAAATTATGAAAATTTAAAGTTGTTTCATCATATAAAATGGATAAGTCTGTAACTGATTTTTTCAACTTTTCAGACGATAAAATATGAATTTTGTTCCCTATATAGTTTGATATGTAAATAAATTTTCTATCAAATTTATTATTTTTTTAAATTCAAACCAAATATTTGCAATATTGTGCGTATTTTCGTTGAAGATCTGAAGTCTAAATTCAAATATATCATTATCTGAAATTCAAATATTTTTGCCACTATCATCTTTGTTTATATGGATTACGATAACTTATAATCTAATTTATACTGCTGCTCAGTCTTATTAGCATTTATAGTGAAACTTTAATATTTAAAAAGCTTTTTGATTGTGAAATGTTGAATTTGAAGTAATGAAACTTTTGTTATGAATAGGTGGCAGACGACCAGGAGAAGTAATTCGGTACCAGGTGGTGGTCGAATTGTTTTTGCTGGTGACCTTTATGTCAAAGGATGGCAACTTTACAAACAGGGACAAACTACAGCACCATTGCCTTCTGGCAGCGACACATCACGACAGTGCAACAGTGATAGAAAAATTGCCATGTGTAATGTGAGTACTCTACTTCACTTTATAACTTAACTTCATTCAAAAATGCTTCCATTAATCTAAAGTAGATATCTAAAATAAATGAACAAAATTCTATGAGCTAAAAGATGTATATGAATTCGTTTAATTGTTGTTTAAAATGTAGTCAAAACTAAACTTTTAAAGTTTATAAAGTTAAAAATTAATGTCTTTTTTTTTAAATAATTATTATAAGAAAAAAATATTAGCACAGAAATTCACAAAAAAACTATTCCCATGTGTAATTTGAAAACCTTTAGGTTTCACTTTGACTATAGCCTATTAATTTTCTAATTGGTTCTCAGTGTAAGTTTAAACATCTCATATAGATAGTAAAAATTTGATATTTTTCAAATTTTAAGTGAATTAAATGTGTTTATGTATTTCATTTATCAAACTCATCAGAACTTATGATAAAGTTATAATTAAAGTTTAAAGTAATTTATCGACCAACCCTCTGAATTATTTTTTTCAAAGCAAAATAATTCTAATTTTTTTATTATTTTTTTTTTTTTTATTTGATAACTTAAAATAAATATGTAGGTATAAATTTTATTTTATGTATTAAAATATTTCTTTAACTAGAATTGGATAACATACTACTTTAATAATAAGATATATCTTTGAGTTAGTGAAAACATCACTTAATCTTTACTATTTATCGTATGTTTCTTCTTTAAAATTTCTAATAGTTTACACACACACAACAGTATTGTTACTTGAAAATATAGCTGTGCTTGTTAAACCGATAAAAACTTTTTAGCTCTATGTTTCTTTTATAATTGTTAAACTGCACCCTAATTTCATGATACTATGTAATTAAAAATTTTACTGTTTTTTTTTTCAACAAATAAATAAATACCTTCAAGGAATTTAGCTATGTTTTTTAAGTATAAAATACTTTAAAATTATAGCATATTGTACTATAATTCATTAGCTATATTTCTATAGTTATAAATAAACTTTGTTCGAAATAAATCAAGAAAATTTGATAACTATTTTTCTTTTTAAATTGATTCATTGTCAGTATTGCGAAAGAAAAAAATTTTCTTGTGCAATTTACATACTACATTTCTATAAAAACATCACCAACGTAATAATTTTAATTTTCTATTTTTCAATTTTAAATATGTTTTAGCTTCGATGCGAAGCTGAGAAGGTATTGGTTTTACTAAGATGTGTTTTTTTTTTTTTTTTTTTTTTTTTT